GTGTCGTAATTTTTGCTATTTCAATACATTGAAAGCTAGTGAATTTCATATCTTGCCAAATCCACGCGTTGCTATCATTTCCAAAGCATCTTTGTTCGGAAATTCCAAAACTATCCGAATTAGTCTCGGAAATTTTGAGACTACACAAATAGCCGTGAAAAATCAGTCTCGGAGCTGTTTCCAAGACTATGTCTAAGGCTAATGGGAAATAGGTTTGGAAATCGTTCATTTTTCGAAGCAATTTTTCGAAGCAAAACATACATTTTTTGGTAATGAATGTACAAAATATTTTTACCGAAATTGTGACATGTACTCTCTCCGTCCTGGTCTAAGTGGCTCTTCGGGGTTTTATGTAGTAGATTAAGAAATAATATTATTTTATTAGGTAGTGGAAGTACGTAAGAAGTTTTGACATTTTTGCCATTTGACTTTACGTAAAAAGTAACTGTACATGTAATGGTATGTTTGTAATTTAGGTAAAAATTAAGGTTATTTTGGTATTGATGTATAATTACTTTTACTAAAATAGGAAATTGATACTTTGGAGTGAGACGGGTTAAAATAGTAAAAATAGTACTTTGAGTTGGGAATGGGGAATATATGATATTTTTCTCATCTTTGAATTCACTCAAAATTCTTTATTTGTATCTCTTTTCAATAAATAAATATATTTACATATATTAAAATTTTATAATTCTTCATAAAATTAATTTACTTTAATTATAAAGAAAGATTTATATTTTTTTCATTTATTTGTATTATAAAAAATATTATTATCTACAAAATAATATTCATATTATATACTATTTTTTTTATTGAAGTATGAATTTTGAAACAATTAAATAGAATTTTTTTAATCATATATATATATAATAATAAATCAAATATTAATTAAATAAATCACTTTTAATTAAAACACGGCCTCTCAATTTGTCCATGTTGAAGTAAGCCTCGAACGACCTAAATTTTCAATATTGTAAAATTGATGAACATAAATACTATACGTTTTTAAGATTACGTAGATTGTATTGTTTGTTGATAATATCTTTTATAATTGACCCCGTCAAAAAATTCATACTGTTTTAAATTATTAAGTATATAAAAATTAAATTTAAACTTTAATGAGTATCCAGACTCACTTTTACAACCAATAAAAAAAAAAAACCAATCAAGTATTTAAAAAATTAAATTGTAAAAAATAATACTACTTCTTTTGTCCCACGATGTCGAATTTTCTATTTTTGCATATCCTACATATTATGTAACTTTTATTTTTAAAAAAGTATTTTAAAGTTCAATTAAAGTTTTTTATAATTATAATTTTAATTTTTATTAAATTAATCAGTTATCCTAATTTTAATTTATAGTTATTTTCATTATAATTTATTAATAAATTCTTAATTATTTGCTAATTCTATCATCTCCTAAATCATTTCAGAGTAAATCATATTAGGGACGGGAGAGTATTATACAAATTAAAGTGGACCCCATAAACTTTAATTATATATATATGAAATAATAATTGAGTTTTGAATTTTAAATTAAAATTGGATATGAATAAATATTTACTAATATCTGAATGTAAATAATTACTATTTATTACTTCATCCGTCCCATTTACTATGTCCACATTGCCGTTTCTGTCCGTCCCACATATCATGTCACTTTTCTTTTTTGGAACATGATTACACACTTTAATCTCATTTTAAACTTTTTAATTTTATTTTTTTATTTTAATTAAAGTAATTAGTTATCTTAATCTTAATTTATAATTATTTATATTATGGGATAATTATTTTCACTAATACATTCTTAATTATCTATTAATTACATATCTCCTGAAATACCGTGTCTACAGTGTAGCAGACGCGATATGTGGGACCAAGGGAGTATAATTTTAAAAAATTAAATACTTAAGTTAACCTTACTTTTTTTAAAAAAATCTCAATAAAAAAATCTAATCCAAATCATAACATCAAATCAGAGCTTAGTTGGTTTTAAGTTTCGGATTGCCGCGAATGTATTCTTATATATTCATATGTTCACCCAATTAATTACACGTAATCATTCTCATAAGTTAACCTTATTTAACCCGCATTATACGGTATATCCAAGTTCGTTAGCGCCCAAGAGATGGCCGGCTTGGGCCTTTGGGCCTGGGCTACCCGCGTATTACAAATGGTATCAGGGTTTATGATTAAAATATTTAAAATTTGATGTTTTGAGAGAAAAAGATAGTATATTTTTATTTTTAATTTTAAATTTGAAATTGTAGAAGATTAAGTGGATTGTTTCCTAATATTTTTATAATTTGTTAAAATATTGAATTGAAATTAGATATAAATAAATATTAACCTAATATTTCAAAGTAAAATAATTTCTATTATAATTTTTAAAAATTGAGTATTTAATCTAATATATATATATTTTTAAAAAATATCTGAATAAAAAAACAATCAAATCCAAATCAAAAAATAAAATCAGGCTATAGTGTAATCTAATTTTCATGTACCAACCAATTTATCCTTATATATATTCACCCAATTACACATACTCATTCTCATTGTATGCATTCATTTGATTGTCGACTCTATTTACATAAACACTTTTACTTTTAAAAGTTCTGATCTTATCGCATCAAATATCTAAATTTCTACTATTTCCGAAATTTTCAAAAATCTTTATCTACTCGAAACTTGTTCCAAGAATCTTGACAATCTCATGGCGCAATTGGTAAATTATTTCGAGCAGGAATCCGTAATCATGGGCCAAACAACAACCCCCGAGACTGTTTATGGTCGTTTTATTTTGGGCTCGACGCAACTCAACGTTGAATTTTCATTCACTTGCAGGTGCTTTATCGACCAGTCAATTTTGATGGCTAACCGAGAATCCGACGCCGAGCCGATGTACACGGGTCGGTTTATCCAGCAGCCCATCCCGTCGATTGGAATCTCAATCAATAGAAATAAAATTGAAATCTCCAACACTGCCGAACAACTCATCGAAGAATTTCGGCGAACTGCCAACACTGCCTTCATGCATTGGCCTATTAATGCCGAGGGACAAACTTACGTGATCGAATCTGCAGTGGATCATCTAATTTCAGCCCTTAGATCGAGGCCTCTGAGTTCGAATAATGACTACGACAAAATTTGGATACACTGCCCGGTTACGATCACTCTTAACCATTTCGTGGAAGAAGGGCGCGAGGATATGGATTTGGCGCTTCTGCAGTCTGCCCAGGAAGCGGAGGCACACATGGTTCCCGCTGCCGAGTTTTCCATTGAGTCGTCATTGAAAGAGGCTGCGGTGGCAAATGGTTCTGAAGAGACTTGCACTGTTTGCTTGGAAGTGATCCGTGGCAAAGCGACGAGGATGCCGTGCTCGCATTTGTTCCACGGATGTTGCATACAAAAGTGGCTGGGGACGAGCCATTATTGCCCTCTTTGTCGTTTCAAGTTACCGACGGGAATTTGATCGGGAGGTTGTCTTTATTGTTGTTGATCTGATCGACATTGTAGCTATTCAATGAAACGAAGCTTCCTTGTTAAAAACTGCGAGACAAAAGTATAATTACAATATATTTTATATAAATTTTTTATTTGTATCTCTCTTCAATAAATAAATATATTTACATATATTCAAATTTATAAATTTTTATAAATTAATTTATGTTAATCATAAATAAAAATTTATATTTTTTTTTATTTATTTGTATTATAGAAAATGTTACTCGCTCCGTTCCATAACAAATAATCCATTTTTTCATTTTAGTCTCCTATAACAAAATATTTATTTAACTGTATTATCTACCTAACATTACAAATACCCTTAAAACTTACAATATATTACATACTATATTATTTTAGTCATTTGTATTTTATTTCTACTATATCCCAATATAATACTAATATTTCTAAAACTATGTGAAAAAACAAATAGATATTTACTTACTTACGGGACAGAAGGAGTATTATTTACAAAATAATATTCATATTATATATTTTTTATTTGGATATGTTTTTTAAAACAATTAAATAGAGTTTTTTTAATCATTCATATGAAATAATAAATCAAATATTAATTATTTAAATCACTTTTAACTAAAACAAGATCTTTCAATTTCCCCTGTTTGATTAAGCCTCGAACGATCTAAATTTTCAAGGTTGTAAAATTGACGAACATCAATACTATAATTTTTTAAGATTACATAGATTGTATTGTTTGTTGATAATATGGTTTATAATTGGCCCCCCAAAAAAGAATTCAAACAGTTTTAAGTTATTAATTAAATGAAAATTAAATTTAAACTTTAATAAGTATAGGGCCTCATTTTTACAACCAATAAAAAAAACCTATCAAGAATTTAAAAAATTAAATATAAAAAAATTAATACTCCATTTGTCCGTTTTACATACTATGTCAATTTCATTTTTTAAAAAAGTATTTTACATTTTAATTAAAATTATTTATAATTTTAATTTTTATTAAACTAATTAATTATTTTAATCTTAATTTATAATTATTTATATTATATTATTAATTTTATTAATAAATTCTTAATTATTTAGCAGTTATACTTCTCTTAAATTATTTTACAGTAAATATGTCACCGACTCACCGTATTAGGGACAAGAGAATATTATACAAATTGGGTCATATACTTTAAATATATATATATATGAAATAATAATTGAGTTTTGAATTTTAAATTGAAATTGGATATAAATAAATATTTACCTAATATCTGAAAGTAAAAATAATTATTTATTATAGTTTTTTAAAATAAAATATTTAATTTAATATTTTTTTTTCTTTAAAAAAAAATCTGAATAAAAAAAATCAAATCAACAGTAGTTGGTTTTAAGATTCGGATTGCCGCCAATTTATTATTATATATTCATCCAATTACACGTACTCATTTTCATTCTCTTCGAAGTTTTCAGAATCTCATAACGTCAAAAACTTCTGTTCCAAGAATTCATCTTGGCAATCTCATGGCGCAGTTGGGAAATAATTACCAGCAGGAATCCGTAACCATGGACGACATCACAACCGCCGACACCGTTTATAGTCGCTGTGCGATGGCCTCGGCGCAACTCACCGTTACTTTTGAATTCACTTGCAAGTGCTTTATCCACCAAGGGCTTTTGATGGCCGATAACGAAGAATCCGACTGGGATCGGATTATCCGGCAGCACATACCACCGATTGAAATTTCGATCACTAAAAATCAAATTGAAATCTCCAACACTGGCGATCAACTCATCGAAGATTTTCTGCGAATAGCCGACACTGAGCTCAGGCGCTGGCCTATTAACCCCGAGGGACGAACGTACGTGATCGAATCCGCCGTGCTTTATTTAATTCAAGCCCTTAGATGGAAGCCTCCGAGTTCGAATGACTACAATAAAATTTGGATACACTGCCCTGTTACGGTCAATCTTAACCATTTTCTGGAAGAAGGGCGCGAGGATACGGATTTGGCGCTTCTGCAGCGTTCCGAGGATATGAATTTGGCGCTTCTGCAGTCTGCCCAGGAAGCGGAGGCACACATGGTTCCGGCTGCTGAGGGTTTGATTGAATCGTCGCTGAAAGAGGCTGCGGTGGCAAATGATTCGGAAGAGAGCTGCAGTATATGCTTGGAAGTGATGCGCGGAAAAGCGACCAGGATGCCGTGCTCGCATTTGTTCCACGGAGATTGCATCAAGAAGTGGCTGAGGATGAGCAATTGTTGCCCTGTTTGTCGTTTCGAGTTAGCGACCGAAAATTGATCGAGAGGTCCTGTTTATTGTCGCTGTGCTGATCGAGAATTGTAGCTATTTACTGAAATGAAGTTTGCTCATTAAAAATTGTGTTTAGTTGCTGTCCCAACTTCCATCGGCATTATGTTCGTTATCTTTCCTTTTTTTAATATTACGGGAAAATTGTAAAAAATATTTGGTATATATATATATATCTAACTATTACTTTTGTATTTTAATTGTCATTTTAAGAAAATATATTCTGATTTGTCACAATTTTTTTTTATTTCAATATATTGATCATATGTGAATTTCACATCCTGTCAAATTCACGGGATACTGTGATTGAATGACAGGTGACACAATATTTGATAATAAAAAATATACATAATATTTTCAGCAAAATTGTGACATAGAATATTTTTAGCGAAATTGTGACATGTATAGAATATAATTTTTTGCTAGGGTCTTCATGAAGTATAAGTCATTGCGACTAAATCATATAGAAATTAATTTACTGACGGTCAATGTACTAAAATAGAAAAATTGTAACACATACAAAATATATATTTTTTAGGATGACAATTAGAAGACATCTTCTCCTTGGGACATAAGGAATGCTTTCATTTTGTTATTCCAACTCCTATAATTTGTGTCATTTAACAATGGAGGTCGAACCGTTGAACCACCTTCCTTACTCATTTTCGGAATTATGAGATGATCTACTCAACGATTTAGATAATACTGTTTTCATACCCGATGTTGGAAAATGGAGCTCGATCAGATCTCCTTTATATTGAAAAGGGTCAATTCTCCAAAAGCATAGTTAACGATACTGTTATAACAACTTATTTTCAATTAAATAAATACTAAAACACCAAAGTAGTAAATGAGAGATATTTGTTAACTCAGCTTGGGTATAAACCAACCTTATATAGGGAGTTTCAATCAATGAGTAGTTTATGTAAATAGAGACTTGAGAATAAAAGGGTTCGAAAATCAAGTGATGATATATAATGAGGATGAAGATGTGTGATCGGGTGAGTTTATGAATATATAAGAATAAATTGGCACCTAACTAGAGCCTGATTTGATTTTTTTTATTAAGATTTTTTTAAAAAAAAATTACTAAATTAGTTTTTTATTTTTTTAAAAAAAATTATAATAAAATTTTTTTACTTTCAAATGTTAGGTTTAATATTTATATATACATATTGCACAAGTATTATTTTTTTACTTTCAAATTTTTTTTAAGTGGAAACCCGCAGTCGTTATCCGAGTTGGAGATTTGAACCCATGACCTCACGATCACATGTCCAACCCCCACATCACCGGGTCATCCTTACGGGACTAATCATCCTTACGGTACTTTGATTAGTTTTTTTTTATGACCACTTTGCATGACCATATACTAATTTTTATTTTATTAATAAATATTTTTAATCTTTCTAGCCATTACAAAAATTATTATCAACAATCAATCTATGTAATCTTAATCTTATTTCAATTTTTTTTTTCAAATTTTATCTACGAAAAAAACATTTTCATAATCTCTTATGATTTTAAATCAAATCTATACTATTTATGTTGTTGTAAATTTATATCTGATTTTATTCGGAAAATACCTCGTAAACAAATATAAATTAATTGTATTTGGAAGAAATCAAATTGAAATAGTTCGGTTCTGGAATCCAACCGCGAAGACAAAATCGATGACGACCACTCCTTCACCGATGGCTCAAGGCGACCACAAGCAGCGAGCAGCTCCAGCGGTCGGCCGGACAGCGGCAGTTTCTGTTGGGATTAGACTAACTTAACACTACTATGAAATTGCCAGCTTTAAAGTGAACCTGCACGATTTTGTTTTTTTAGATTTACTCCAAAAAGCCTAAGAGTTTATGTGAAACTTATAAGGTGTGAGATTTTCTTCATAATTTCAACGTGGGACTTGAGTTTGCATCCCAATAGTTCATAGCGACCAACAGCCACTGCTCTTGCGAGTGCTTTCGGCGACTTCTTCTCCAGTCATCTTCTCGGACGAACGGATGACAGACCCACGGCGATGACTCCTCCGTCAAATAGCCCCGAACAGCAGCGCCTCTGGAGAATTCAAACAGAACTGAATTTGCTCCTTGCTTTCTCCGATCTTTGATTGACATAGTTCTTTTTCGTATTCTCTTTACCGGTGAAAGGACTTTGAAGTAAGGTCTACCCTTGGTGCAAAATGATCTGAGGTAACCATCTACAAGGTTGGAGGTCGGCTCGTCACTCTAAACTTTGACACCCGTCAAAATCGGCCACGGGAAAGAGCTTCTATTCTACCGGTAAAACCTCTCGGAACCCTCATCGGAACTCTCCTCTCTACTCTCAACCCCTCTTTCCCTCTCTATACTCTATTTCTCTCTAATAGAGTTCCATATCAAAATGAGACTCACTGACTCACTTTTATCTAAAATAAACCCCAAAACCAATTAACTAATTTGATTGTAACTTCTAAAAAGGTTTGGGCTTGGTGTTTAGATTTGGATTTGTGTTTGGATTAAAGAGATTGGGCCGAGTCCAATTGGCAGAAGTAAAAGTAGATCAACTTTCAATTTATCATGGGATTCATAGAGTTAGATTGGAAAAGTCAAAAAAAAATTCAATGCACATTCTAATTAAAAATATACTATTTTTTTATTGTAAAAATATTTTATAGAAACTAAATAATTGCATTATATTAATTAAAAAGATAAGGGTCTATATATAGTACCTTAAAACTAGATAGAATCAAATTTAAATAATATAATATATACATAATTCTCACTAAAGTCCAAAAAATGATGGGACTTTTAAAGCTGTACTTTGTATTAAATCATGATAAATGATCAAAGGTCGAATTTGGATGCAATCCACTCGACACGCCCAATCCTTATAGCCTAAAACCTAAACCCAAACTTTTATACCAAATCCTAACCTATTAGCCTATTTGTGTGTTCGTTTGTTAGGGGGTTTATACAAGGGTGTTGTAGCCTAGTCATGTTTGTTTGGACAAATTTTTTTAAATTTTATTATTTAGACGCTGTATTTTTCGAAAAAAAAAATTTTTTTTTTATAAACATCTCATCAAATATTATTTTAATATCAAACTTAAATCAAATTTTTTTAAACTCAACCAAAAGAAATATTGGGGTACAAACCTAAGTCACACTTTGGAAGTTGTGAAGAAAATTTTACACAAAGTCCCAAGTGAACTCCATGGTACGAGGCCTTTTTGAGAATATTCAAAAACAAATCCGTGCAAATTCAACCAAAAGCGGACAATATCATACTAGTGTTGAGTTGATCCAGTCCCAACAGTGGTATCAGACATGGTGAAATGGACTAGGGTGGCATTGGGCATTGGTTGTGATGGTGGGCTCGCCCTCGTGACCTGCGGATGTGTCTTGTGTCGAAAGTCTCCTGACGATATTGGATAGATCCCGATTGAGGTGGTCAGATAGCGAGTCCTTTGTGATAAACGGTACAAGGTGGACTGGAAGGCCATTAGGTAGTCTTGGTTCGAGGGGACGATTGGTTAGGTGCAAACCAAGTCCCACGTCGTAAGCCATTAGATACGATGGGCTGAGCCGACCACTCCCGTCCTCTTATGCCGGTAGAAATAGCGGAATAAAGAATCGGTGTAAATCAAAGCTAATCGGAGTTTGAAGTCTACCAGAGAAATAAAGAAGAGTCGGAGCAGAATAGTGGAGAAGACGACCAAAGCTGGAATTGTGTAAGCGTGACCTGGAGTGTTGCTGGATCTGTTCAGAAAAAAAAAAAAAAAAAAAAAAAAAAAACACCGAGATCCGCTGCCGGAGAAGACGCTGTCCGATCGGAGCCATTCGGTGGAAGAAGATTGGAGCCCGCTAGTTCGGCGGAGAACAGCTGTTGCCCAGCTCTGGGAGATGCCAGATCGACGTCGTTGAGCCGCCGCCGTCCGGGAGGTGTCCACCGGTGAAGGAATCATTGTCGTCGTCGCTGTCGATCGTTCTCGTCATAAAAAGGAACTCGAACAGGGAGATTTTCAATTCAATTTTTTTCGAAAGTTTGGGCGTGGAAATGCTTTACAATTTGATTCAATTAAGGGGATGTTTGGTTGGTTTTGGTCTAATTTTTAATTTATGCATTCAGCCTTAATATTGTTATGTTATTTCTTCTTTTATGGGTAAATTATATAACATAAATGTACAAAACAACTTATATTTTATTTATTACATAAAACTTTTCAGTTAATATAAAGTTTGAATGAAACACTCTTTTTGTCCAAAACATATATTTTTTTCTAAATAAAGATCTAAATTGCGCAAGTTTTGTACACTAAAATATTTTAATTAATTTTTTTAATAAAATAAATAAATAATTGATCAATCATTTATTTTTATAGAATTTGTAAAAATTATATAACAATTTATCTCCAAAAACTATAAAATGAATATTTATTTATTTATTTTATTAGAAAAATTATTTAAAATATTTTACATTTTTTATGTATATAAAACTCACGTAATTTATGTTTTTATTTAGAATTGTGCATTATTACTAAAACATAAGGTGCACTACAAAAAAATAATATATTTGTAACGGAATTCCGTCCCTAAAGTTCACGTAGCTAACGTAATTCCATTACTAATTCCGTCTCTAATGTCATTTAGTAACGGAAAAAGTAGATTTAGAAACAAAAAAATTTTGTTACAAAAATAATTTTTTCTTATAGTGGTGGTATTATATAATTTACCCTTCTTTTATTGATAATGTGGGATCCCGCATCCGTAACTCTCGGCCGAACTTAATGCCCTGCGAACTAGGTTCGACAAGACAAGTCATGCTAAGCGAATCATATGTGGCAGATAGACCTGGAGGCGTCGGGATTTGAATCCATGACCGCACGGTCATAAGTCTACCGTCTACACCAACAGACCATCCCTTATGGGGATATTGTTATGTTCTTTTTCGATTTTGTATATTATTGATTTGGATTTATTAGATTATTGCTCCCTCTAATTAAATCTATACAAGGTATGTTCGAATATCCGAGATAATAAATTCACAAAAAAAGATATAATATGCTTATAGAGAAAATAAAAAATTAAATAATAAACTTTGATTCTCGTAAACACTCATTTTGAATTGCAATTCTCGAAAAATAATAATATAAAATATAAAATATTTTTTTACAAGAGTCAAAAAGTCAAAAAAAAAATAAATTAAATATTCATTAAAAAAAATCCAAATACACATTAAAAAAATCAAAAAGTCAAATGTTTAACTTAACATAATATTTTATATTCTTAATACAATTTCTCACATCATACACAAAAAATCAATTCATTTAAAAACTGAATGGACACTCAAGACAAACAATACAAGATAACAAACCAATATAAAGATCTTGGCAAGAAAGGAAGGTGCATAATCCGTCAAGAATGGAAAACGGCATCTGATGGAAAATGAAATATTATAAAATCTCCCTATTGACCAATCAGGACGCGCCACATGACATCATTCTAAAAGGAAGCCGAGGCCACACCTCCCCTATAAATAGGAGTCATGATCAATTCATTTGAGACACCGAAGTTACATCGAGGATTCAAGTAAATGGGTAAGTCTCTAGACTCTCTCTGTATTGTTCTTCATGTTCTTCGTGTCCTTCGAACCGTTCTTCGTCGAAAGTCACTGATTTGGACAAATGATCCAATATTGGTTGACGAATCGATGGACTTAACGTTCTCCGTCGTATGCCCAAGCCGGATGAAGGATCAAAGCTCCTAAAGCCGTTGAGGAATTCGTCAAAGCCAAGGAAGAGCCTCCCAAGTTCATCCCAAAGCTTTAAGGTGTTCGTCGCGTTCTTCGTCAAAAGCATCAAACAGGCCCTCTTCGATCCAAAAGTCAAAGGGACATTCCGCCAAAAGTGTTATGGAGCACCAAATCCACCTACTCAAAGATCAAAGTCGCGGATCGTCCAAACAAGACATCAAATCCAAAGCCGACGATTAAATCGCCCACACGGAGACCGAAGCTCTCCAAAAGGCGGAAAAGGCAAGCCAAAGATCAAAGCCGCAGATCGTCCAAACAAGACATCAAATCCAAAGCCGACGATCAAATCGCCTACATTGAGACCAAAGCCCTCCAAAAGGCGCCAAAGCCAAACAAAAGATCAAAGCCGCGGATCGTCCAAACAAGACATCAAATCCAAAGTCGACGATCAAATCACCCACACGGAGACCAAAGCCCTCCAAAATGCTGCAAAGCCAAACCAAATATCAAAGCATCGGATCGTCTAAAGAAGATATCAAATCCAAAGACGATAATCAAATCGCCCATACGGAGACCAAAGTCCTCCAAAAGTGGTAAAGTCGAATCAAAGATCAAAGCTTCGGACCATCCTAAGAAGACATCAAGTCCAAAGCCGATGATCGAATCGCCCACACGGAGACTAAAGCTCTCCAAAAGGCGGCAAAGCCAAATCAAAGATCAAAGCCTCATATCGTCCGAATAAGACACCAAATCCAAAGTTGATGATCAAATTGCCCAAACTGAGACCAAAGTCCTCCAAAAGGCGGTAAAGCCGAATCAAAGATCAAAACCTCGGATCATCTAAAGAAGACACCAAATCCAAAGTTGATGATCAATTTGCCAACATAGAGACCAAAGCCCTCAAAAGGCGGCAAAGTCAAATCAAAGATCAAAGCCTCGGATCGTCTACAGAAGACATAAATCCAAAGCTAATGATCAAATCACCTACACGGAGACCAAAACCCTCCAAAAGGCAGCAAATTCAAATCAAAGATCAAAGTCTCGGATCGTCCAAATAGGACATCAAATCCAAAACTAACGATCAAATCGCCTGCACGGAGACCAAAGCTCTCCAAAATCCGGCAAAATCAAACCGAAGATCAAATCTCTTCAGATCAAAGAAGCCATAGAAAACTAAGTTGGAAAATAAATCGACCCAAAAGGAGAATCAAATGACCCATTTAGATAGGACCCGCTTTAAATTCAAATCAAATTTAATTTGTACAAATTTTGTGTTTATTAAAAAATAACACAATTTTTTGTCTACAATAGTGTTGCAAGTAAATAAAAAATTTCGCTAACGTGGTCCTCCAGCGTGTCACTGAAGTGGTAATGACATGTCATCCATATCAATGCCACATCAGCAATGGCGGACCGATGTGGCGAATTCGGCACAAGATGACCATTTTAGCGAAAAAAAATTTACTTACAGGAGTATTTTAAAAAATGGTCCATTTAAAGTTCTAAAATGATGAAAAGGGGTCGGGAGTAAAAAAATATATTTTTATGTTTTTAATATATTTGTCTACACAACACACAAAAAATCAATTCATCTAAAAACGCTGCATAAACGGAAACTGAAGGCAAAAATACAAGATAACAAACCCAAAATAGTTAATACAAGTTTCTTTGTTCTCGACATTTTTATAAACTACTTAAGATACAAGCAAGATTCATTAAATAACTAAAATGTTGATCAACAAGGATAAACATTGAGCTCTCAATTACCTCGCTTTGGTACCTCGAAACGACAAACCGGGCAATAATGGCTAGTCCTCAACCACTTGTGGATGCAATCACCATGGAACATATGCAAACACGGCATCCTCATTGCTACGCATCCACCACGCATCTCTTCAAAGCAAATGGCACAAGTCTCTTTCGCATCATCCGCCACAGAAACCTCTTCTAACAACAATTGAATGGAAGACTCGGCAGCCGGAATCATGTGTATCTCCACTTCATCGGAAAACTGTATAAGCGCTTGCTCTATCTCGCGTCTTTCATTCAAAATGTGTCTTAGAACAGTTGTAAAAGAGCAGCGTATCCAAACTCTATCGTAGATATAGGAAGGCGGCTGCTTGGAATCAACTGCTGCAGAAAATCTACTGAGTGCAACTTCCGTCACAAGTGATCTTCCCTCGGCATTAATAGGCCAACATTCTAGTTGATTGTTGAAGATTTGTGAGACATCTTCGATCCGAGAGATGAATTGATCTCTAGTGATTGAGATGTGGATCGTTGATGTGGGTTGGTTAACCCGACCCATATATCTTGCCCGGCTGCTTGATGCTTGATTGGACTGTGGTCTCCATAAATCGATAAAGCACTTGCAAGATAATTCAAAAGTTATGGTGAATTGGGTCGAGGGCACGGGCGCTTTACAAAAACCATAGATGGTGTCAGCGATTGTAGCTTGATCGGTGGTTAAGGAAACTTGATGGAAAGAAGAGTTCCAGTGCGCCATGAGATTGTCAAATATTCTTCAATTTTACAAGAAAATAACCAAATATATAAAGATGGATGGATAGGGATCTGAAAATTACAAGCAATTAGACATGTAATGATTTTAATGTGGTCGCAAAAATGCGAACATAATCAAGAAATGTGCAAATGTATTCACTAACCAAAAAAAATACTAACAAAATTGAGCCAAGCTTGGTTCAGATCCTCGACGCCACACTCAAGTGAAGGGGCCAAAAACAATGTAGATCTGGCAACAAACAAGGCCACCGGCTACCAACGGAGCCAACAACCTCACACCCTCTCAAAAATCTCTCAAAATATTTTCCAAGAAGCACTACATGATAGCCAAAAACCTCACCAAAGAGACATAAGAAACAAGCCCTCACACAAAACAAATGCTCACATTAGACGGAGAAAATAAGAGAAGAGAGAAAAAGAAAGAGACAGTAGAGAGGGAAAATACATAGTAGAGAGAGAAAGAAAAAAATATATATTGACAATAAATAAAACAACGGGTGGGGCATTAAAAGAACGAACGGCTGTAATAAAAATCGCATATCCAACAACTCGTATTAAATGCAATATTGAGGTTGGACTACCAAGGGACAGGCTTAAGCTTGGGCCAAAGAGTTAGGTTTTGCACCCTTATTTGATGGGCCAAAATTACAACCTTCTCTATCGTTTTTGTCATACTTTCTTACAAATGACATCAAAGGGTATTATTACAGTCGTACCTTTTGTTTACAACAAGCTATACATCAAAAAACTTTTCAAGAAACACCACACAATGGCCGAAAACCTCACCAAAGAGACACACGAAACAAGCCCCCGCACGAAACAAATCCTCACATCAGACAGAGAAAATGAGAGTAGAGAGAAAAGGAAAGAGAGAGTACAAAGAGAAACAAGAAGATTATATTGACAATGAATAAAAACAACAACCGATAGGATATTAAAAGAAGAACGAACGTTTGTAATAAAAATTATAAATTCAACAACTCATATTAAATGGAATAGTGAGGTTGGTCTACCAAAGGCCGGGCTTGGGCCAAAGGGATGGGCTTTTGCACCCTTATTTGATGGGTCAAAATTACAACATTCTCCAATTTTTTTAGTAATATTTTCTTACAAATGAAATCCTAAGATACCATTACAATCGTATCTTTTGTTTACAACAAACTATACAAAGTTACTACTAATCAAAAGTATCAAAAATTAGTATTACAAACATGATTAAAAATAGAAAATAAAAAATAGGTGTTTGATTTGATATTTTTGAAAAAAAATAATTTGAATTAATAGTAGAATTAAATCCTACAGCCAAACATACATCTATGTGATTAAATTGATAATGAAATATCATTACACAATTCAATTTCATATTGACTATCCAAAAACACAATTACATCATCATTTAAAAAATCAAATTAAGATTAAAAAAAAATAGCTCTTTAACTACAAAGCTTCTTTTTAATTAACTACCGTTGCATATTGTTTTTCAAAATACATACGAAAAGAACTCTAGTGTTAAACGTGTTTATCTTAGAATAGTTTCAGGATTAGTGATCCCTGGAAAATCTACCATAGTATGGGTGAGTGAGGACAAAACGTGTTGGAATTACTCGTGTTGACCTGTAGGATCAGTCTATGATCTCAACACTCCCGATTTGTGTAGTTTGCAGTCCGAAGTGTTACAATTAGTATCAGAATAGACATGTGGAAGCCCATAGTTTTCGACTGGATTGTTGAGAGGTCCAGCAGTTGACAGATTCTTAGGGTGCAACATGGACATTGCATTCTTAACTTTGGGAGGATGTGATAGTCCGGTGTTGAATAGAGACTGAATTGATTGAATAGACTGCTTATGTCAACAATATACACATTCTTTTTCGAGAGCCCACTTAAGAAAACTCTAAAATTAAGCGTGTAACCTCTAGAAAGTCTCTCAGAGTGCGCGTGAGTGAAGACAAAACGCATTAATTTGAAAGACTTATGTTAACCTATGGGCCCAACAGCCTAATCTCGACACATTTGGTCTATGTAGCTTGTGAGCTGGAGTGTTGCAATGTTTCTTTGAATTTTTCACGATATCAAAAATAAATAGCAGATCTTAATGTCCTCATTTCGATTAAATTGTCTAGTACATAATAAAGAAGAGGCCAATTTAATTCAAGTCCCAATAGAAAAAGAAACATTAAAGCAAACAGTTTGTCTGAAATCCCTACATAGTACTTAAAAGACAAACAAATTTAAAACAAGGACATGTACCTTATTCAATCACTCCAACTGCAATGTCCATCCAAAGCCATAAACACGAGCTCTCTTAATTTTCCGGCGGCAACTCGAATCGACAAACGGGGCAATAATGGCTTGTCCTCAGCCATTTGCGGATGCAATCGCCATGGAAAACATGCGAGCACGACATCTTCATCGCTTCACATTCACTGCCGCGCATCACTTCCAAGCAAATAGAGCAAGTCTCTTCCGAATCATCAGCCACCACAACTTTCTTCAACGACAACTCAATGGATGCCTCGGCAGCTGGAACCATCTGTGCCTCCGCTTCCTCGGCAGACTGCAGTTGCACCCGCTCTACGTCGCTCCCTTCGTCCGTAATTTGGCTGATAACGAGTGTGAAAGCACAGTGTATCCAAAGCCTATCGCATCCTTGAGAGGTAGAATCCGGCACCTCGTATTTCTCTGCTGAAAAATGTCTACTGAATGCAGATATCGTCACATCCCGTCGACCCTCACCAGTAATAGGCCATTGCCGGAGCTGATTGCTGAAGATTTGATAGACTTCATCGATATGGGAGCGAAATTGATCTCTAGTGACCGTGATCTCGATGCTCGGTACATGGTGGGGAACCTGCATCAGGTATCCTTCTGAGATCCCGGATTCTCGATTGGGCCGCGACCGCCATACATTGATGAAACACTTGCATGATAATTCGAATGTGACAGTGTTTTGTCTCTCGAGCTCGGACCCATCATGAAAACCATAAAGGATGTCACCATCCATAGGTTCATCCATAGTTAGGGAAACTTGCTGGAAAGAAGCATCCATTGGGCCCTAAGATTGTGAAGATTCTTTGATTTCGATTCTAGAGGAATATAATGAAAACGTAAAGGATGGACCGATGGGAGTACGAATACTAGAACCGATCGGACATGTAATAGATTTAGCGAGGTTGCAAAAATGCAAATGTATTTAAGAAATGTATATAAGCTATTCAATAACTCAAAATAGTAACAAAAACGAATCGAAGTTAGCTTAGGTTCTCGACGGGATCTAAAACAAAGTAGATCTGGTTTCAAACCAGGCCAAGAGCTACCAATGGAGCCAACAACTTCACAATCTCTCGAAAATCTCCCAAAACACTCATCGGAGACCACCGCACGGTGGCCGAAAAACTCACTGGAGAAACAGATGAAACAAACACCCACAAGAAACAAAAAGATGGATAGAAGAGAGAGAGTAGAGAGAGAAAATAGAGAGAAAAATAAGAAGATTGACAGTGAATGAAAACAGCGGCGGCGGCGGGCGGAGTTTTAAAAGAAAGAACGGATAGGTTAGGTTGTGCTTCCATGGGCCGGGCTTAGGTTTTTTTTTTTTTTACCCATACACTTATGCAGTTGACGAAAATTTTGAATGAAAACAGCGGCGGGCGGAGTTTTAAATGAAAGAACGGATAGGTTTTATCAAAAGCACAGATCTACCGACTCATTTAAGAGGGAGGTTGGACTTCTATGGGCCGATTTTTTTGTTTTTTTATCCACATACACATACACTCATACATCCAACGGAAATTTTTTTCATCCTTGCATAAATGTATTCATCAGGAATCGAACTCATCACCTAGCTATCAAGCGAAGGATGTCTAACCTGAGCTGCCAAAGTTTAATCATGGGCCGGGCTAAAAGTTAGATTTTACATTATTGTTTGATGGGTCAACAAAACTATAACATTTTTTTGACCATTTGGGCTCATTTTTAACACAAAGATACATTTCCTTTTTAAAGTGCACAAAATTACACTAATCAAAAGTATTTGTCGTGTAAATATACAAATGCTTTGCTCAAGAATGCATTGCGAATCATCTTTTATATTCCCTTCGTCGTGCAAATATGTGTTTATTTGATCGAGCACAAATTTTAATAAAAGTGAGTAATAATTATTTTTTTTATAGTAAAAAAAACATACAAAATATAATATTTTTTTACCTAAAAAAATGAGAATATTATTTTATAACAATCCAAAAAAAATAGTATAAATTTGAACAATGAGTACTTTTTTTCATTGTTATTTTACCCATGCAAAAAAAAATAAAAAATAAAAAATCTTATTGTGAGTATATTTATAAAAGAACTTGCATATACATCAAAAGAAACACCAAATTCAATCACACTCAAATCAATGAGATATGAACAAATGAGATGTCTAGTGTGTTTTTCCAAAAATAAAAAATAAATTGTTATTTTCTCGTGTTACTTATTAATATATGTATATATACAAGTAAATATACTTTAAATAATTTAAAACAATCAATTTAAATTTATTGAAAATATAGATTGTCGTGTAATTATTGATTAATTTTAATAGTATTTTATTAATAGTGTTGTAATATTTTGTTAAATTTATATTTTAAAAATTAAGTTTTTGAAAAATTATTTAAAATCATCATCATATCAATATCTTAATAATTAATATTTAAAATATATAATCTTATTATTACTAATTTTAAAATAAAAAATATTTTATATTTATTTTTAATATAAAAATATTTAATTATTGGCACCCTTAATTAACTTTTGCCCTGGCTCTATAAAATTTAGGAACAGTCCTAGAGAAAAATTGTGTTTAAGAGGCATGTACATGAACAGGTAAAATAACAACACTTGAGAGAATAGGAAGTAAACGATAAAACACCAAATGTAGACGGAGCCAGTAGTACTGCAATAATAGTAATAATAATAATAACAACTTGGGAACCACATCCGTTACCTTTCTAGGTAAACGGCCGTCGAACCTAATAGTTTGTAAATTAGGCTCGACAAGAAAAGTCACACTAGAGAAATCATATATGACAGACAAGATCCGAAAGCGTCAAAATTTGATTCCATTAGCTCACAGCAATGAGTACATCTCCACAACCCGTTTTATAAAAAAAAAAAAAAAATCATAAAAAAATAAATAAATAAATAATAATAATAATAATAATAAATCAAAATAAATATATATAACAACAAAGTAAAAAATATGCCTCCCATATTTACAAACAAAAGCTAACTGTGAAAATATACAGTAAATCTCACTTTTCAAAAATCATTGCAATAAGTTCCACAACAAGAAACAAAAAGTCCCACTAAATCCTGCATAGAATGGCCGACTTGGTGTGGTGTGATGCTTGGTGAGTGACTGTAAGGTTATTGATTTTTGGTTACCTACACACACAAATACATTTTACAGAATTCGAACCCTTAACCTCAAGCATGTTAAAAAGCGGTCAACCATTTAAACTATATTCCCTCAAAACCACAAGGTTACTGGTTCGAATTCTACCGACGCCTTCTCGATCAAGCCTGTCACTCAGGGCTTGCTTAGGGTAGTTTTCCCTTTACAAGCTATTGCACTCAGTTCAGAAATTCACCCTAAATTTTACTATTTATCAAAAAATTTTTCTTTAAAAATATTAAATTAAAGATCTATTTTTTTTATATGTATATTAGGCTGAAAGTTAATTTTACATTCAAAATATCACATCAACATCTATTTATATCACATGATACAACTATTCCAATTCAAAAAAAAATTATATATATATTAGGCTAAAAATCAATTTTACATTCAAAATATCACATCAACACCTATTTACATATGATACAACTATTCCAATTCAAAAATTTTACTATTCAAATCTCATCTCAAAATCCAAATTCCCGAACAAACACACCCTAGGTTGACTTTGCAATTTCAAGTGCCAATAGAAAAAGAAATATAAAAACAACACAATTTTTCTTGTTCTTGAAACCCATACATATTACTTAATTAAAAGACAAAAACAAGGACACCTAGTTCAAAAAAACCACAACTACAATAATGTAAATCAACAACGATAAACACGAGCTCTCAAATTTCCTTCGGTAACTCGAAACGACAAACGGGGCAATAATGGCTTGTCCTCAGCCACTTGCGGATGCAATCTCCATGGAACACATGCGAGCACGGCATCCTCATCACTTCAAATTCACTGCCGTGCATCACTTCCAAGCAAATAGAGCAGGTCTCTTTCGAATCATCCGCCACCACAACTTTTTTCAATGACGACTCAATGGAAACCTCGGCAGTTGGAACCATTTGTGCCCCCACTTCCTCGGCAGACTGCAGATCAAGCGCTGGCTCTATATTTGTGTCGCGCCGTTCTCCCACCAAGACATCGAACAGGACTTTGAAAGAGCAGCGTATCCAAATGCTGTCATAGACATAATTATCCGGGTTCTTGGAAAGCATTGCTGAAACATATCTATTGCTTGCGGCTGCCAGCACTTTGTATCGATCCTCGTTACTAATAGGCAAATGTTGGAGCTTATCTTTGAAGATTTGGGCCATTTCACGGGGGTGGGAGTGCATGTGATCTTTAGTGATTGAGATCTGGATCGTCGTTGTGGGGTGGTTAATATGTCCCGCATATGTTCGCCGGCTGACAGATTCTCCCGTGGGCAGAAATCGCCACATAGTATAAGAGTACTTGCATACTAATTCAAAATTGATGGTTAATTGCGATGAGGGCACGGGCACTTCACAAAAACCATAAATGGTGTCATCATCTGTAGGTTCATCGAATACTAGGCAAAGTTCATGGATAGAATAAGCCCATTGCGCCGTGATATCATCAAGATTCATCAATCTTAGAGGAATATAATGAAAGCATACAATGTGTATGAATGTGTAGGAATGTATATAGGGGGCTGAAGGGACTATGAAGATTAGAAGAAATTAGACATGTAATGATTTTAACGAGGTTGCAAAGATGGCAATGTATTTGAGAAATGCATATAACATATTCAACAACTAGAAAAAACAAAAACAAAAGAAGAAGAAGAATTGAATCAAACTTGGCTCAAGTCCTCGACACTGCTCTCAGGTGAACAAGGGCAAAACCAAGGGAGATCTAGCCACAAACTAGGCCAAAAGTTACCTTCATAAGCAACAATCTTTCCAAAATCGCCCAAAATACTCACCAAAATCCACCAGACGACGGCAAAAAACATCACCGAAGAGACAAAATAAATAGACCCTTACAAACCCTAAAGAAAGGTAGAAAGGAGAAGAAAAAGTAAAGAGGAAAAGTAATAAAAAGAGGAAAAGACTGACAATGAATGAAAGCAACAGGCGGCGGAATATTTAAAGAAAGAGCAGCTGCCACTAATCAAAACCCTAGATCCAATGGGATATTAAATGTATGAGTGGGCTTTCATGGATCGAGAGCTTAAGCTTGGGCCAAAATGTTGGACTTTATACTTTAATTTAATGGGCCAAAAGTACAATATTTCTCAATCTTTTGTCACCCTACTTTTACATAGAAAGTGAGTATGAAACAGTTAGTCGATGATCAATTAATTATGAGTTGTTCATAAAAAAAAAAAAAAATTAAATACAAAGTACATTCACCTCCTCGATTGGTCTCATTGACTTGATTCTTATATCTCTTTCATTCTCCCGTTGAGCCTTGAAATTCTTGAATACTTCTAATTCTTTTGATTTCTCCTTCAATAAAACATCCACGTCCTGAAAGAATAATAAAAAATTATATTTTCTTACCAAATGAACCAAATATAATCGGACCATAAATATCTATATGTATTAACTCTAATGGTTTGCCTACTTGATTATGAAAATATTTATGAAAACTTATCATGAAATTTCTTTCCAAACATACATTCGTCACAAAACTAATTTAGATGAGTCAATTTTAGCATCTATAAGTAATTTTGTTCAACATGTTCAAGGCCATCAAAGTTCAAATGCTCGTATTATTGATGCTATAACCGTGAAGTGTTTGTAGCCGTCATGTTCAAGCATTTTGCATGATCATCTTTGATGATGAGTTTGAACATCTTATTCTTTGTCATCACGCCCTTTGCAAACAAACATTCCAAGCCATTTTCTATGCTTACATATCCATTTTGTATGTCAAACATATGACATTTTTCAACCAATTGTCCAATGCTTATAATATTTTATTTCAAAGTAGATAGATAATATACATTTGAAATAATTCATGATCACTATTGCTTAAAAAAATTAGTATATTTCTCTTCCTTGTAATGGAAACTTTTGAACTATTGACAAAAGAAATGTTATCTTTTGTCAACTCATCAAGATGAGTCAATAATAATCTATTAACCGATATGTAGTTATTTGACCAGAGTCAAGATACCACACTTTAAGTTTTTCTTTTTTTCTTTGTTGCACATAGGAGCATTATGTAACCATCTTCTTCTTTGGCCTTTATTTGATTTATATTTTCACATTTCTTTGGATTTGATCTGCCTTCATTTTGTAGTGTCCAAACATCTAAAAATTGTAACATTTCACAACTTTTGATCCATGGTCTCTTTTCTCGTTCTTTATAAGTTTGTTGATGAGTTTCACCCACGGCCTTTTTTTTTTGGCCTGTTTCATTTGAAAATTGTAACATTTCAATTCAGCTTTTGTTTGAGGAACTTAGGTAGTGATTCTTCTTGTCTTTTATTCTTTCTTCATATGCTTGCAAGGACCCCAAGATATGATCTACACTTATATGCTTGACATCTTATGACTTCTCGATGATTGTAACCACGTAATCAAACTTTGGGTTTAAATATCTTAATATTTTTGTATTCACCCGAGCATCGGCTAAAGTTTTGTAATATATCTTCAATTGGTTTGTGTAACATCTCAAATAACAAATTTGTAATTTCATATGCTAACATCAGAAAAATATCGCATATAAGCATGACACGCCCCCCCCCCTCCCCCCCAAGTGTTAAGGCTAACACTTAAAAAAAAACAAGTATAAAAGTTTTTCGTCCCATGTAAGTATTTCAAAACATGCAATTATATATAATCACTTATTCAAAACTCTTAATGTAAATTCAAAAAGTAGAAAGTGCATATGTTTAATAAAAGTCTCATCCCCTATCATGCATCAAGTAGACAAATGTCTGAAAATCAACTGGACATAAAAGAAAGTAGTATCATCAACTTAAATTGAGTAAGAAATTAGATATACAATCTATGATTAAATTATCACAACCGACAATCAATGATAGCCAAAAAATGGCTAAATCTACCAAAATTCGCAACTTAATCAATCCATTAACTGACTTGCCAAGCAATGGCCAAGTCTAGACGAATTCATGGCTCACACAATCAATCATCTTACTTTTCAATCAATGGCCACATTTTTCTAGTACATGGCCTTGGATAATTAACCAATCAATTTTTCAACTACGGCCAAATCTATCATTCACATATCCAATTCATTAATTTAACAATCATGGACAAGTCTAGTTGAACCTACGGCACATTTAACCACCAAGCGGCGGCTGCAATCCTCACTAAAGAGACACTAAAAACAAACCTCACAAGAAACATAGAGTGATAGAAGAAAGAAGAAAATGTACAAGATCAAAAGAGATTAAAGAGATAAAAGAAGAAGATTGACAATGAATGAAAACAGCAATCGGCGAAATATTAAAAAACAGAAATTGGCAGCTCTAATTAAAACAACATATCCAACAACTTGTATTAAAAGAAGATATAGACGGCTCTTATCAAAATAATGTATCCAACGACTCATATTAAATGCATGAACGACTTAGGTTTTATGAGCCGGGCTAAAGTTTAAACTAAATGAATGGACTTTATACTCTTGTTTGATGGGGCTAAAAAGTTATAATATTTTTATATTTTTTTCCACCATATTTATCCATTTCTTTTATAATCAATACATGATCACGATAAAAAAAACAAGTATAATCACAATGAATAAAAGAGATTATATAATTAAAGATATTAAAGAAAAGTATTTTTTTTTAAAATAAAAAAAGAAATTTGTAGCGAAAATAATGATCATTTGGCCAAATAAATATGAAGAAAGGAGATGAAAGAACTCTTTATCAACATATTACTATTTGGCTTTCAATAAAAGAAATCAATATATAATCACAACGAATAAAAGAGATTATATAATTAAAGATATTAAAGGAAAGTATTTTTTTTTAAAAAAAAAAAATTGTAGCGAAAATAATGATCTTTAGGCCAAATAAATATGAAGAAAGGAGATGAAAGAACCTTTATCAACATATTACTATTTGGCTTTCATTTGCATTTGAAAAATAAAAAATTGTTTTTTAAAAAAAAAATATAAAATTAAATATTTATTTTTTATTTTATATTTAATTTTTTATTACAAATATTAATTAAAAATTTATTTATATCATATTAAATAATTATTTTAATTCAAAAATTCATCATTTAAAATTCAGTTTCAAATTCAAAATCAAACCAATACAGCCTAATTGGGGATCACTTAAAATTTGGTCTTGGGTCTGCTTTTGGGTCACTTAAGTAAGTCTATTCTATGTAAAAATTTTCAAAATTATCCAACTAGATCACTTTAGCCTAGTAAAATTAAAAATACTGAAATATATATTGTAGGTTTTGTTTACTTCCAAATATTGCTTTTGGAGCTGCCCGAAAGTGCGTAGGAAAGAGTTTGAACTACCTCATGGTCATGAATCCAACCTCTACACTACTATATCATCCTTACAGAATCATTATATATTTTTAATATAATAAAGTTTTGATGTATTACATTTAATATTATATTTTTTATTCTATTCAAATACGTATTTATTTTAATTATTAAATATGAATGGTAGATATTTTAATTATAAAATAATATATTACAATAAAGTATTTAGAAATTATATTCATTATATCATATCATATTATATATAATTATGTATATAAGTAAACTTTTAGGTAGAATTAGAAAATAACATGAAAAAATTGAAGAAAAAAAGAAAAGAATTTGTCGAATATATATATAAAAAAAATAGTATATGTTTTTAATAAAAATATATCATTTTTCTCATCGAATATTTAAAAACGAAAAAAAAGATATTTTAATAATATTTTTATAATTTCAATTACTAACAACAAAAATTTTAATTTTTCTAAACAACTTGGTTGTTTGTAATTTGAAATTTATTTAAGTTATATTTTTATATAATATTTTGTGAAATGAAGTAATATATTTTTATTGAAAATTGCATAGAATGAACAATGTTAATTTGGGTTTGTTGACCTCAAAAATATTACTACTACAATTATTTTATTTACATAATTTAATAAGTATTATTTCCTCCGTCCCATAACAAAGTATTTATTTTTTCATTTTAGTTTATCTCATAACAAAGTATCCATTTCTTTTTTTAATAATTGTACTATCTACCTAACATCACAAATACCTTTAAAACTTACAATATATTACACAAATGTCATTACCTTTATATCACACATACTAATAAGGTTATTTTAGTTATCTCTACTTTATTCATACTACATCCAAATATAATACTAATATTTTTAAAATTACGTGCAAAAAGCAAATGAATATTTAATTATAGAACGAATGGAGTATATAGATATATAATGAAACTATATGCACATTTACTATCTATGTCCTAGGCAAGAATTATTATTCGAAAGCTGGTTGGTTAATAACCACAAACCATGTATAAATATCCAATTATTGAATTTAAATATTTTCATTCACATAGGGTTTGCTTGGTTGTCATTTGAAAGAATTTTGAATTAAATAAAACCAATGCTATATAAATATGTGTTTAATATGGTGTATTAAATATAATTTGAGTTTTTTATATCCGTAATATTTTAAATAAAAAATAAAATTTTGATATAATAATTTTTTAAGATCAATTTTAATGAATAATGTAAATTTTAGATACTTTGATGGAAAGATAGATGTGGGGTTTGTTTATTTAAGAATTCTTTTTAAACTCAAATTTTATGAATTTGTATAAAACATATTATTTTTTTCATAAAAATTACTATTAAACTAATTTTAAAAATAAATAAATAAATAAGCTAAATTACAAGAAAAAAGATACTAATTAAAATTTTCCTATTTAGTTGTTCTAGAAGGTGTTAATAAATAGTGCTGCCAACCTATTCTAGACTTAAGAGCATTATTATTGTAACCAATATATATTTATACCAGCTATTAATTTTTTATTATTTTATATTTTACACTTCCGTCTCGGTCAGTATTATTAATATTTT